GATTAGCTATTGCTGTTTTTATTAAAACTCCTTTGGGGAAGCAGGACATTATATGCATGGGTTAATATGTGCCATTTTCAAAAGAAAAACAGGAGGAATACTGGAGGTAACATCAAAGTTGTATGTGCAAAAAAAGTTGGCTTAGTTTGTTTGGTAGTTCAGTTGTTTGTGCAGTGTATATATTTTGTGTATGCTCTTGGTCTCTTCCTGTTGAAGTTGAGACTATAGATGCCTTTTTATATGCAGTCAGTGATTCTCTTTTTCAAAGGCACATTGAAAGCTCCATAAAGAATAGGACAAAAGAGTAAGCACAGACTGTACCTGCATAGTTGAACTCAGCAAACTCTCAACTCAATCTTTTTTTCTCCAAAAGCTCTATGAATATTGCTTACTTTGGTATGTTTGACTTCAAGTGCATTTGAAAAGCAGACGGTAATTTTGGTTGATTAGCTCTTGTAGTGTTTGATTATCACTGTTCACCCTTGCACACTGTGCACTGTTGTATTCTCTTGTGCCTTTTTCTATGGATTTGGTAACTTCAGCATCCATTTACAAATGTAAAGAAACTTTATTGTGGTTGGCCTGCTAAACTTATGTGTGTGAACAGCACTCTGTTAATTCTCTTGTGTACTGTTGTTAAACAGAGGTGTTTAAATAGAGGCTGGACGGGGATGCTAGTGGTAGATTCCTGCACTAGGCAAAGGGTTGGATTAAATGATCTCCAAGATCCTTTCCAATCTGATATTCTGTGATGTTGTTAGTGATACATTTTATGGCAAAAGCATGTTTGAACTTCTTGATTTGATGGTTTATTGCGGTTTTTCTGTAGCACTTCAAGTGTTAAAGAAAGTGAATGTAACTTTTGTTATTTACGCTACAGAGTAGTCTGATGATAAATGTAATTTGTATTTAGGATGGATGGCAGCCAGATTGGAATTTGTTTGTGTGTGCTTCCCAGAATAGGCTTTCCTTTTTTCAGATAGAAACTATAATCTCTTTTTTGGCAGCTAGTCTATAAGGTATAATTTTCTTTAAATATTGGGGTGGGTATTTAAAGAACTGAATGCTTCCCTCCCAGCAACCACTGGACGGCAGCAAAAGGTTAGACTTTCTTTTTTGTCTAACCCTGCCATTTAGTGTTACACCGGATCTTGGTAGCCTCTACTGTTTGCTACATCTAGCTATTCCAGATTTGCTTCTGATTCTATAATGACAGAACCCAGAGCAAACCATTTGGATACTGAAAATCAGCTGGAAAGGAATGGAATGGAGCATCAGAATTTACAGAGCAGTGTTTATTCCATTCATGGAGCAAAGCACATTTTCAGTTCCATGTACACTTCTATCCAGAAGAACTTATTAATATATCCAAAACAGGCTTTCCCACCCTGAATCAAGTTCAAAATGAACAGATGTTTATTATTTACTGACATTTAATATCATCACCTTCAAACCTTAGGATCTGACAATACATGTTGTTTGAAAGAGAGCAGCAAAAGGGATCACTGTAATAGTTCAATGCTTTCTTTTGTTGCAATGACCAGTCTTTCTACTCCTGTCATATTTACTTCTGGCTGTCACTTTCAGAACTTAGGCCATGCCTTCCTCTTCCTGTCTATATCCAAAACTGAGACAATGGGTAATATATTAATGTATTAATCTACAGACTGTCTGCCTGTGTATCTACACACATATATTCTTTTTCAGAAATCTATACTCACCTCCATCAAATGAATATATAGACACTGACAGAAATAATATCCTTACTACTACTACTACCACACCTGGCCCTCTATTCTCATCAGATATTGGTTGGGCTCAGACCCATCATACCTGTCACCTGGAAACAGTCACAATGCAAAACAGATATGCCACAGCTCTTATATTCTCCTTCAAAAAGATGAAGGATGCTGCTCTTTCCAGCCAGACTTAATCCAAGGCTTTCCCTGAGAAAGTCAATGCCTAGGTGCTAACATTTCCTAGGTAAGGCCCTCAACTAGATTGCAGCTGCCAACAAACAATAGCTTCTAACACCAGGACAGATAAAGGAGCAGGAAGTTAGTGTTGTATTTATAAATGTTTCTCAGTACCTCTCCCACGCTTCCCCCCCCCCCCCCCAA